GATCGCGGGAGGGGGGGGAAGGGGAGGGGGGGTGGTCGTGGCGCTCGTCGAGGAGGGGGGGGTCGGCCTCGCTCTCGTGGAGAGCGGCCGGACGGTGCGATACGACTTCGTCGCGCTCGAACTGGGCGCGAAAGGCGACGAGGGCGAAGGAAAGGGAGGGAAAGAGAAGGGGGGGATGGACCTCACCCTGCCGCGCTATCGCGAGGCGCTGATGGAAGCGTTTGGGGATCGCGTCTACGCCCGCGCGAGGAGGGCGGCCGTGCGGCGTGGGAAACCCACCTCAACGAGTGTGGAGGAGCCCCCTGAGGAGGAAAAGAAGGAGGTGGAAAGAGAGGGCGAAGAAGTGGAGGGAGGAGGGAAGGAGGAGGGTCTGGCTGCGCAGGAGCAGCGTGGGCGGAAAGGGTCTCTCGCGCGGCGTCTCGCGCTCGTGGCGGGGCCGTCCAAAGGAGGCCGACTGCCTGTTCTCATCGCTGGCGAGTTTGCGATCGACGCGCCCTTTCTCGGGGATTTGTTCACCGCGATGGTGAACGACGATGACGACGACGACCACGGAAACCGGGGCTCCCCTGCGGAGGGGAGAGTGGAGCGAGGTGAAACGCACGTGGGAGGGCAAAAGCGCCCTCGAGCGGAAAGCACCGCGTCGTCGTCGCCGGGATCGACTTCCCCTTCGACGTCCTCCCCGTCGGCAGGGGACTCCTCGAGCGAAAGCAGCGCAGAAGAATCCTCGTCCTCCTCTTCCGAGGAGGAGGTTGAAGAGGACCCTACAGGGAGTGATGATGACGACGATGGCGATCACACGATGGGCGGGAGGTTTTTCATGCTGAGCCCGCCGGTAATGCCGCAGTGGTTGGCGCTGATGGGCGGCTCCATCGTTTCGGAGCTCCCGGTGTCGGATTTGGCCACGATGCGCATCACCGCGGAAGAGGTGAACGCGAGCCAAGGCACCATCCTCCGATGGAAGGCGGCCTTGTAAGTTTATCTATTTTGAGGTGTGGAGACGAGCACTAAAGTTTGGGAATCGTAAATGAAATCCTTTCAAGTGGCTTTCGTTCCGCCAAGGAGAATACACCACTTCTACAAACAAGTGAATTTCTTTCCACGGTGAAAAACATAGGTGAGGCTGTTTTTCCACGGTTTTAATGCGTATATTCCTATATTCTCTTTCTATTCCGTTTTTTTCCAGCATTAAACGACCATCTTCACTAGTGGCGTATTACCCAGGGTCTAGAAAACAAGCACTAGATATTAGTCTTATAGGTGTCTTCCCTCCTACATTTACATTCATAGGATGCGTCGCTTTAACTGCTTAGCGGCGAAGCAAGCTGCTTCTTTCGTGAAGTTTTCCCCCACCTTCGCGGCGAGCTCGCAATCCCGCCAATTCCACAGCGCGTTCAGCCTGATGGGCTCTTGCATCATGTGCGTGGCTTGCATGTGTTGCTTCGCGAGCTGGGGGAATAATATTTGTAATCTCAAGAAATATGGCCGTTGGCGGTTCCGTAATTCCATAGATGATGTCTTCATCGTATCGGATTTCAAGGGCGCCCGGTACGCCGGTGCGTGCTTCGGGCTTCTTTTCTGGTGGTTCATAGTGGGCCCACAAAAATACCGTTGGGATAGCAATTTAGAGCAGGTGCCAGGCAACACGCGCTTTGGCCCCTTTTAAATGTGCACTAGATAGCGCCTAACACGTTGAGCAAAAGATGAAAAAACAATTTAATCCACCTTGATGGGTGTATAAGGATGGATTCAAACCAAACGAATATTACCAACCGGGCTTAATCATGCTCTTTAAGTTATGTTTTCTATTATTACTGAATATGTTGTAGTATTAGTATCAATAGTAGTAGTATGAGGATGGTAGCAACTGCATGTATTAAGTATGCATATCTATTTAGAAGGAAAGCTTTGATATGGAAGGACATCTTACTTTTTATTACTTGAAAAAAGATTGTAGGATCACTATCTTTTATTGAGCTTAATGGTGCTTTCACGATGATTCTTAACATACGCTCCATGGGCCGACATAATGTGCGTCGTATGTTAATGCTGTAGCGATGGTTGAATTCTCAGAGAGAAAGAACAGGAATAAAAGTTGAATATCCATTTTCAAATAAGAGAAGTCACAGAGATTGTTTTACATTTTTCCAGTTCACCTTCTTTCTTTTCCTAAAATAGGATATATATATATATATATATATATATATATTAAAGATATATTTATTATACTCAAATAAGAATGCCGCCGCAACAGGTTAAGCAGGAGCTTAGCGAAGAGGAGATTAATCGGCGCCGTATTAACCAACGGCTTAACGATATTCGAATTGGCCCGCTTAAACAGCTTCCGTTAAATTTATTCATGATGTGGATTGTAGGTAATGAAGTGAGCATTTTCTCCATCATGTTTGTAGGCATGGCAGTCATAAATCCTCTTCAAAGCATTTTCAATGCGGGCAAGAACTTTACAGAGTTCGAAGAAGATGGTAAGGTTGACCGACAAGTCCTCGCGTCCATAAAGCAGGCTAAATGGATTTTCATTGGCTGTTCACTTCTCTGCTTTCTAGTTGGACTTATCAAGCTGAGCTGGATGGAGCTGCTACCGGTGAACATGATGGACTGGCTGCCGACTACACCGCCCTCGTATAAGGAGCAGAGCATGGGTGTGTTCCTTACTAACTGATCGGCATGAAGATAATATCTTTACATTGTGGTGGAAAAGGGTTCAGTCGAGGCTGTGGTTTAATAATTACTTATCTAATAGATAAATCGAAACATTGGGTAGGATAATGCAATCACACGATAGATGGCATTTGTCAGGTGCCATTAGGTGGGTTCGTTATTAAATTTTGGTTTGAATGTTTTTTTTGTGATGGTTATCAAGCTGGTGCTAAGGTGGGAAATGAAAATTCAGTTGTATCTTTACCGAAAGTATATGCGCACATCCAAAAAAATAGTAAAATGGAAATTTAGGAAGGTGGAGATTGCATAACTTTTGCACTACGAAAGCCTTTTGATCACTGGGCTGTTTTCATTTTCCAGTGTATAAACGGAAAAAAAGAGGCTATGTTGAAGTAGTCAATTGATTATTTCCTATTAGCTTTTGATTGGTCATCTTCTTATCCCTTATTTTTTTCTTTCTTGATAAAGGAGAAAACTAGGCGACGTGCTATCCACACGGACAGATCAACATAATCGGTATTACACGTGTTCCAGAAATTATCTTGATAGGTCGTTTTTAGTTTCTTCTTCTTTTGAATTAGAGTACTTGTCATGTTACGACATAGCGTTTCTCGATATTCCCCTACACCAGGGCTAGTTTCCTCTGGGGAAAGTCTGCTTCGTAAGAGTGAAAGCACGCTGCACCGCATCCAGAGGCGTGATATAACGCTGCGCATCCCAAGCCGCGATGGCCTTCTTCGTGTTGCCTTTTGCAGTTCAAAGATGCTGCTTTTCGAAACGATCTGGCGGCATCGTATTCTGGATGCAAAACCCGTCAATATTCCTTTCCTTCAGCTCTTAGGGACCCATTTGAGTTTGACAAATCTGCTTGCCTCCCTTCAGGAAGGAGAGGAGCGCGTGATATGCCGCTTTACGGGCCGTGAGGCAACCATCGTCACGGAGGCCCTTGCTCTGGGGGAATGTCGCTGCTACCTTAAGAACGACTCCAACAACGTGCTGGCGGGGTCCACCTGCGCGACCTTTCCACTAAAAGTAGATCGCATTCTTTACAATCAAACCAAGCCCTTTACCTCTATCGTGAACGCGGATTTAGAGCGGCTTTCTGAGTGTGAAAGCACTCTTCAGTCGAAGAATAGTGGCTTGGCGCACATGGATGCACTCGACGAGATCATCGCTTTGCTTAAGAAAGGTGTTCTCAAGCCGTCCTCCTGTTTGCTTCCTTCCTCACCACTTTTGGGGTTAAGAGGGTTAAAATCTCTCTCCCCACAGGTACTCGAGGTATTCTTTAACTACAATATTTCTCTACATGGGTATAACCTCTTTCGTCAGTCGGATGGCTGCGCAGCGGCGATCTTCGCGCACACCTCATTATCAGCGCAACGCATCGAAGAGCTCGCCAGGGCTTTGATGTGCGAGGAGTCGGAGATTGAGAATCACAAGGCTAAATGGCTGACGGCGTTACCGAGTATAATTCCCCTTTCCTTCGGCGTCGTTGTGCAGCCTCTCGCGGCGGGTAATGTGATTGAATGGCAACTGTGGCGCCTTCAGTCCGCGTTAATGCAGGCAGGGACGGCATTAGCGACGACAGAAACGCGAATCCATCGTATCCCCGACGACGTTTTAGCTCTAAGAGATTTATTTGAGCGCTGTGCAGCAACGCACACTACCTGTCAGTACATCCTTAGCCTCATCTCTGGAGACTACGAGGGCGCCCACGCGGCGTCGGCAAGGGCACGCCAATTTACGCACCCTATCGAAGAGGTCACGGCGATTGTCCAGCCCCTTCGTCGGGCTTTGGATATCAATGATATTTCTATTGAATTGAATGCATCTGCGGCGGTGCGTACAGGGCTGGACTTTTTCTGCCGTTGCTCCACCGCCAATCTTTTACAGACGCTTGTAGATGTTCCGGAGGGAGCACTGCAGGAGCTGATGTTGACGAACGAGTTTCACTGCACTTACTGCGGGAAAGTTCTTCGCGCGATGCCGGAGGAGTGGGAGTATTTGATGGAAAGGCGTGCCAAACATTTCGTTGGAAAGTCCTAGTGTCGCGCCACACAGTGGCGTTAAACGTTACAAGTAAACCAAACAAAAAAAAACATTTTAACTGATTAGTGAATTGCACCTTGCTACTTTCTTTTGCCGTTGTTGTTGTTTCACGATTTGCTTTCATTGACTTTCCTATGGCTTTTCTTTTTTATCTTTTTTTGAATCCATTCGTTCCTCTCCAATCTAGGATTTCATCCATCATCCACAGTACGTAAGTAGTAGACCCATCGGAGGCGCCATACGAGCGACTCCATCAAGCGCTTTTGTTCCCCCTTCACTCCCCTCCCCTCCCCCTTCCCCCTTCCTCGTCTCTTCCCCGCACGGATGGCGGACGTCACCGCGAAGCCCGGCCAGAACGTTTGGGTTCAACGCACGCAAAGCGCCGCAAAGATGTTTTACGTCCACCAAACGATCATCCGCCAACTCCACGCGACGTTAGAGGCGCTACAGGCGAAGGCTGGACGCGTGGATGAGGAGGCGGTGCTGCTCTCCAACCTCCGCTTTGACGCGCTGCGGGATCTCCGCGAGGTGGCCTCCTCGCCCAGCGGCGCGCGGGCGAACTCCGCGCGGAAGCGAAGCCACGCGGATCACTCGCGGAGCCGCAGCGGCAAGGCGCTCCGTCGCGCGCCCTGCGCCCAAGGCGGGGAGGGCAGCGTCCACCTCACCTCTTTCACGAGCGACCTCTCCCCTTTCTTCGCGGTGCTGCGGGAGCTGGAGCCGACGCTCGCGAGCTACGACGACAAGAAGCGTCACCGCATCAGCGGGATGCTCTGGGCGGCCTACAAGGCGGCCCCCATACCGGCCACGGGCTCCAGCGAGGCTGCCTCGCAGGAGCAATCCGTCTCCTCCATGCCGATCCTCCCTTCCGCCGCGTTCGCGGAGGGGAATTCGATTCTCTTCGCCAACGCCACGCTGCCCACGCCGTTGATACCACCGCTACAGCCGCAACTGCAACCTCCCCCTCCCCCTCTCCCATCGCAGATGCCGCAGCCGCTTTCCGTGCGCTCCTCGCTTGGCATCGCGGAGACCTCCACCACCAGCCTGTCAAAGGTGATGAACCTGTCGACGTTGACGACGACACCGACAACGTCGCAGTGCATCATGAAGCGCCCCCGTGAGGTGCCTACCATCCTTTGGGATGATATTCTGCGGCTACGGGGTCTGCAGCTCCAGTTGAAGGAGAACATCAAGGCGATACGAAAGGAAATCGTCTTACAGATCCGACGACTCAATTTAGTACAAGAGATGAATATGGTCGCCAACCACGCCCTTCAAGGATCTTTGGCATCTGATCCAAAAAAGCCAATGAGCGCCCCAAATGTCGATACGGGACTTAGAAAAAAAAAATGACGCTTTCGGTTCTCTATTTTGTATACGTAGTTTCGATATTGCTTTTTGCTGTTGTGACCAAAGGAGCGAACAATTTACTTATTTGTTCGTTTTTTTGTTGTACTATTTTAACTATAATATGTATCTTACCGAAGAAATATTTTTTATCGAGCGACTTGTTGCGAAGAACACGTATGAAATAGCAACTATTCATTAACGTTTTGTAAATTACGTTAAAGCAATCCAATATACTTGTGTGATAGTTACTGTTTTCGTTGGTCTTGTGATTCAATACATATTGGAGGGTTCTGTTACATATTTATGCTGCTGGAAAAGTTAACACGCTACATTTCTTTAATTATTTGACATTTATTGAAAATGTTTCATGTGAGAAAAGCTATGATTTTTCGGATTAAAAGTTGCTTTTATTATGACCGCAAAGCTCGATTAATATTTTTTCCCGATTGCGAGATTTCTTACATTATGCGCCACCGGAATTAGGAAGCGATTGTTGAATTTGTTTTCCACCTGTTTAGGGCTATAAAATGAGGCTTCAAAATATTTCTCGAACTTCCTTCTATTTGCCTTTTTCCCTCCTTCCACTTCTCAGGTTTCACTATAGATACTTTTTAAGAAAGGAAAAGAGTCCCAAGAACATTGTAACGAGGGCATGCGAGTGTTGCCTACCGACAAAGGTGACGAAGAAACAATTGAGTTTTTCTGAAGCAAATCCATTTTCCATTTGCTTTCGAATAATTGAGCAACTTGGACGCTATATTATTGGGTCCTTTTTTTATTTCTCATCTTTACGACGCAGGCGTGGTGCTTTGCCCTCCTACTCCTCCCATCACGTGTCTCTCTTCTCCATATTCACTCTCTGACTTCTTCCAATGGGCGGTTCTTTATCACGCCAAGAGGAGCTTTTCATCACGCAGCAGTGGCCCGCGCTGTTGGAGGAGGCGATGAACGAGGCAGTCGCCTCAGCTGCTGTTGATTCGGCCCCTTCACCTGCCTCTGAAGACTTGGAACGACCCCCTGCCTCTGCGGGCGCTCGTCTAGAGTCGCCACAAAAAGGATTTAGGCTAAGCTTCAACGAATGGCAGGCTTTTTTGGCTGTTCTTGAGAGCGGAAGGGATGGCGCTATGGACAAGGAGAACTACGCTACCTTATCGTCTATTTGCCTGCGGCTGCGACAGGGTGAATTACATTGCCCTTTGGTGGTTTTGACGGTGCATGCCTACGCGTGGTGGGCGAGTGGAATTACTGATGAGGAGTTTATGGTGCGGATTACTGCCTTGCTAGATCAAGTATCTGTATTAGATCCAAGCTGCACTGTTGAGGGAAGTCAGCCGCCGTCGTCGGACACCAAGGAAGCGGTTGGGGCAGACGAGGAGCAGCTTGATTCTGGCCACAATAAGGACTCCAAAAGGAAGCTGCTGAAGAAAGGGCTAAAACGTTTTTCAAATATGTTGGGTTCACGTATTAGGAGTACTAAAAGAGCACGAGTTGAGAACACGGATATTTTACAGAAATCTACCTCTTCAGCAGTTCCATCAATTTCTTTATCGTATATACCTGAGTTCCGAGATTTAGTTTGTCTCTTCGGAGGTCTGCTAGAACGGCGCATCGGTCCCGATTTAGGCATCGAAGGTTGCGAGCCAATGCATCCCGATGCCAGTCCATCGACCTTTCGGTTTCAGGAGAAGGAGGAGGCCTCATTGTTTCAAACTCTGATGAACTTGAAAATCGATCGTCCAGTTGCTCGTGTAGCCCTTAGTCTTTCATTGGCGATTTACGCCATCATGTATCCTTTACCGGCGTACGCACAGGAAGGCATCCAGCAGCTGCGCTTGCTGGAATCCGAGATGCAGATGCACCATGAAAAGCAGCGGCGCACCGCAGGTAGCCGCTCTTCCACGCATGATGCTATCGAAAACTTCACGGAACATTGGCCCTCTGTTGGGCATCTGGAAACCGTGTTGCTGCGTCGTCAGTATGAACTTGATGTGTGCGAATGCCTTTCTTCAGTGGGGAGGGATCTAGAAAACAGCTTAGCTCTGCGCCGTCGTGCCCGTGAGGCAGCAGCTTGTGGAGTGCTGTCTGAGAACCCCAACCACGCATCTCCTCCCCTTGGGTTCAATTCCATGAACTTGGCGGAGCGGTGGGAGTACTGCAAATCGCAGTATATCGGGCAGCGGCACGTATGGGATGCCCTAAAGGTTCACTTTTTATCAGCGGGCGTCTTCGACGTCAACAAACCCACCGTCTTGATTTTCTTTGGGCCCTCCGGTTATGGTAAGTCGGAGCTTGCCAAACAGATTGCGAGCGCGATTCACGGGATTCCTGTTCAAAATTTGGAGTCTTCCGGTAAGCTCGTTTACCTGCACATGCCTTCCTTTTGCACAAAGGACAGCATCTACTCACTAGTGGATCCGCCGGCCGCGCATGTTGGCGATGGCATCCTACTTTCTGCCCTGCTCCAACATCCCGACGCCGTTGTCGTGCTGGACGAGTTCGAAAAGAGTACTGCTGAAGCCGTCCAACATATATGGCTTTCCGCTTTCCAGAAAAACGGCGTCCTGCGCTCGCTGAAGCGGGCCGATCGTTCAGTCTCGACGGTTCGCACGACGTTTATTTTAACCTGCAACATTGCCGCGGAGACAATCGAGGCGCGTCGGAAGCTCTACCTGGATTTGAACCCGAGCGACCAATCGATCGCGCGGGAGGCTTTCCAGAGTATTTGCAAGAATCTCTGTCGAACCACCCTCGGGGACCCGTTTGTGAACCGTGTGGACTACTTCTTCCCTTTTGTGCCCTACACGCGCGCGGAGCGGGAGCAGTTTGTGCTGCTGCTCCTTGAGCGGCTCCTCGCGGCGCAGCGTGGGAAGGGCCGCGTGCTGCACCCCACCCCGCGCGCCGTCCGGGCGATCGTGGCGGGCCTCGAGAGCTTCCACGGCGAGACGGTCGAGGCCGCGTTGCGGCCGCCGCTGCTCCGCATGGCCGAGCTCGGCTGCCCGGCGGCGGTGCTCACCGTCCGCGAGGGGGTCATGGGC